AAGCTGCTCTTCATATTAGTGACAAACAATAACAGTAACAACAGCTTTTTGACAAGTTTAAAATGTCTTTAATAAACTACAAAATTAAAGTACAAATTAAAATATAGTTGTATCTGCAACTGTATTTGATAATGTTTTGAACTTTTAAAATATTTCTTGGTAAAAACAGAAGCTGCTCTTCATATTAGTGACAAACAATAACAGTAACAACAGCTTTTTGACAAGTTTAAAATTTCTTTAAAACACGTTCAAAATGTTTAAAAATAATTTAAATTGCAAATTAAAATATAGTTGTATCTGCAACTGTATTTGATAATGTTTTGAACTTTTAAAATATTTCTTGGTAAAAACAGAAGCTGCTCTTCATATTAGTGACAAACAATAACAGTAACAACAGCTTTTTGACAAGTTTAAATTTTCTTTAAAATACTTTCAAAATGTTTAAAAATAAACTAACAACAATTAATTTAAAATGCAAATAAAAATATAGTTGTATCTGCAACTGTATTTGATAATGTTTTGAACTTTTAAAATATTTCATGGTAAAAACAGAAGCTGCTCTTCATATTAGTGACAAACAATAACAGTAACAACAGCTTTTTGACGTTTAAATTTTCTGTAAAATATTAAAAAATAAACTACAAAAAATAATTTAAAGTGCAAATTAAAATATAGTTGTATCTGCAACTGTATTTGATAATGTTTTGAACTTTTAAAATATTTCATGGTAAAAACAGAAGCTGCTCTTCATATTAGTGACAAACAATAACAGTAACAACAGCTTTTTGACAAGTTTAAAATTTCTTAAAAATATTAAACAATAAACTACAAAAATTAATTTAAAGTGCAAATTAAAATATAGTTGTATCTGCAACTGTATTTGATAATGTTTTGAACTTTTAAAATATTTCATGGTAAAAACAGAAGCTGCTCTTCATATTAGTGACAAACTTTGTTGTTTTTTGATGGATTACTTTCATTTTTGTTTCTACTTTTCATTTAAAATAAGTTTCCATTCTCGGCAGGTTTCTAAGGTTCTTCTTCTACATATTAAAAAGATGTTAAACATCTGAGTGGTGCACTACTGCTACTAGTGCTGAGAAAGTGTATTGCACCTTATTTAAAATCTATGCAGTCCCACGGCCCTCTGCGGCCCAAAGTTAAAAACTGTTGTTCTTTTGAGGCCCTCAAGGTGGCGCTCACGGCCCACCCACAGGTGAAGAATCTCTGTTTTAGACTACATACATGCCCCTCAGATCACTCTCCAGTCCAACCAGCAAATATCTGTCTTTTCCACAGAGCAAAATAACTTAAAACATACAAATGTTTTATTTGTTAGACTGATTTATTTTTTAAAATACTATTTTATTCAAAAATATTATATTATTTAGATGGTTTCAGCTCATTTATTCTTTATATTTGATCATTTATTGAATTACATTTATCCCAGAAAAGCTGTGTCACATGGTTCTAAATATAAATAAGTTTAGCACATCAAGAACCTTTTTGTTTTGATAAAGTTGTAAAGAATGAAATTTGTGGATCTTTCTGATAAATTAAAATAACATTTAAAACTCATTCATCTAGAGAACATGGCAAGTTGTTTCTATTTTTTAATAGATATAATTTTTTTGATAGGGGTGTTAAACAGAGAATCATCTTTGCTTTAATATGGGCCAAATAAATGTTCTGTTAGTTAATGTGGTTTAATTAGAAAAACTCAGCGAATCTCACAGAAAGACTCAGCCTGCACAGCGACATGCTCCTGTCACAGCAGTCTCTCAGGAGGAGATAGTTTAGTCACTTAAACAAAGTTGGACAGATCTGTTTGATAACAACGCTCTGAACATATATTTAACATAAAGTTATGTTTTACAGACCAAAGTCTGTGGTAGTTCAGGAGCAAAGTGCAGGAGGAGATGTAAGGACTGACCGCTGCAGCCGCTGCTCGAGCCGCTGCTTCAACCTGTCTCTGCTGAAGGTCCCGCCCTGCTCTGCTCTGATTGGATAAAACGGCTCTGGACTTTGTCTGATTTGTTGAAGGCAGTGTCCGTTTTATCCTTATATCAGGGTCRCYCTGTCCTTAGAGGCTTTGTGAGCACCGAACAACAATCCAGTCACACCAGTGTGGCTGGATTTTTATTTATTTTAAGAAATCAGGTCACATTCGTGACCAAACTGGTCGCACTCRAGAACCCTGCTAGCTGTTGTTTTAACAGACAATCAGGGACTATCTTAGGTACGCAAGTAAGCTTTATGACGTTCCATCTGGTGCACATTTTCCTTATTTGATCACGCATGCACACCTGCACACTGCTTATGTGCCACTCTGTTTATAAAGAATTCACTTTGAAATCCTTTCTTTTCAGAATGTAACTTCTTCTACAGCTTTTGAGAAATTTCAACACTTCATATGTTAAAATGTTCGGCTCATTCAGGACGTTCCTGCTACGACTTTTTGCATTTGTGCAATTCTTACTTTTTGAAGTTTTTCTGCTTTTTCAGCCACTTTTTTCTCATTGAAAATAAAAAGTTTCCTTCGAATCATTTGTGCCGTTCACCTCCTTTCAGCAGCTCGTTTCACCTGGTTTCTGGTTTTATTCTTTCAGCTGCTTTCGGCTCACTTCAGCTTTCTGTCCTTTCAGGTTTTTAGTTCTTCTTCTGCGAACTTGAGCTTTTTTAGATAATTAATTTTTTTTCTGTGTTCATTTCAGCTTTTATCTGCTTAATTCAGCAATTGTGTTCTTTTGGTTTTATTTAGCTAGTTGTAGCATTTTTCTGCTAATTTAATCCTTTTTTAGCTACTTTACAGCAGATTTCAGCTTCTTTCAGCTAGTTTTTTTAAATGCAACTTTTATTTACTTATTTATTTACCTTGAACTCAAACCAGCCTCAGTCTCCATCATGGGTCCATCAGTGGAAACGTATTCATCTTTAACTTCCTGCTCCTCCTCCTCCTCCTCGTCCTCCTCATCTCCTGTCTGAAAAACACTTGGGATTATTTCAGGAAAACTTTGTTGGATATTTGCAACATTTTTATTATTTCATTTTGGCCGACTGAAACGAAATGAGAAAACTGAGTAAATATTTAAAAACGAACTCATATTTGGGTTTGGAGTTGTTTCCAGAAGGAAARAGTTCAGTAAAGTGAAATAAAGTGAATTATCAGCAGGACTCTAACAGGTCAGTCTTATTGAGTTTCACCTTCAGCTTGATGTAGAGCAGAGACTTCCTGGTCCCCGTGTTGGTGAAACTCCTGAAGATCTCCTCCGGAGTGAAGCTCTTCACTCTGAGCCTCAGCAGCTTTTTGCTGCGATCACATCTGTACATGTTGAACTTCTTGTCCTCGCCGGCCAGCTGAGGCAAGGTGGACCTGAGCAGGTCCAGAAACTCGCCCTCCTGCAGACCCCGAGGACACTTCAGGTCCAGGACCGACGACCTGCGGAGCTCCGAGAAGGTCTGGGGTTCGACGGGAGCGAAGGGGGCCTCTGAGAACGCCTCGGACAGCGGACCCTCCAACACGCAGAGACGCAGGARGTAGTGAGACGGTTCTTCACCGAGCCGAGGCCGGCCACGCCTCCTCTTCTCCGGCGGGCCCGCAGGAGACYACCTGACGCAGAACAGAACGAGACAGAGGAACGAACCGTTCAGACARAAACCTGGTCCCACCAAGCAGAACCTCACATCTGTCCACTGGGTCAGGAGATATTTAGCTCTGCTGCTCCGTACCCTGTGAGCTCTTTGTTTGGATCATCAGACATGGAAGGACCCTCGTCATCATCGTGGTGTTTCTGTGAGGAMGAAGATCTGGTTCAAGTCCTGACAACTTTACCAAGTCCCCCCCGAGTTTATCTGCCAACCTTCAGCCGGACGTAGAGGGCCGAGTGTCCGCAGGACCTGATGGTGGCATCGATCTCCTCTGGAGTCACGGATCGGACCTTCAGAGGCCACAGCCTCCGGTTCTTATTGCTCAGGAGCAGGTCGAAAGGTTCGCCGTTCGCCAGCTGAGGGAAGGTGGACCTCAGGAGGTCCAGGAAGTCCGCCTCCGAAAGACCGAGAGGACARTTCAGCTCCTGAACCGGGCTTTGGTTAAACACTGGGAACCAAACACAAAAACAGATTTTATTTATAAATAATGTTTTTACCAGAACTGTAAATAATTCATTCAGTCAGTAGCTGCGTTTCCATTGACCATGAAAATGCGCAAATTAGAATTTCGAAAATAAATTTGCTCAATGGAAACATGTCAATTTCGAAAAAAAAAAGTTTTTCAACAAAATATTTTTGCACGAGGATGAGCTGGTTTTTCAGTCGTATCTAAATTGGTGTTTTTCGCAAAACTGCAATGGAAACACTTTTTTCACATCACAGGAGTCACGTGATCAACAACCGTCTGTTTCTACTGGTGAAAAAGACGATGATGAAGAAGATAACAGGAAGTAGAAGTAGTAGTAATATCACAGAAGTAGTATAAAATAGTAAACTCAGCGACTACAATTTCCCAAAAACACAGCATACGTAGCCGCTCCCAAGTAGGGACTTGTCTCTGGAAAGCCTCGATAAAAGACGCCGACGTCTCCTCTGATGATGAGCGCTAGTGTCGTGGTAGCAACATGCTATGTGTTTACATCCATCGCTGCCATGTTTGTAATGACTTATCATGAGAACAAACGTATTCACGTGACTTTAATAACATTTKTTACTTAATGGAAACACTGCAGTTGTGAAACTGTGTTTTTCAACATTAACAGAATATCGACAAAGTTTTGCGCACATTTGCAATGGAAACGCAGCTACAGAAACTGTTTGTAATGTTAAAAATAATAAATAAAACTGAGCTGATGAGGTYAAACAAGCTGAGATATTTAAAGATAATCTGAACCATATGACAGCGGATTAGGACTACTATGCAGATAATAAAAAAAGAAGCAAATCTCCACCAAAAAACTCAGAAATTTCAAGAAAAAACAGAAAAATCTCTGAGCTCCAAAACTTGTAAATTTGTGAGAAAAAACACACAAATTCCCACAATTAAAGACAAAACTTTTAGATTTTTGAACTAAATATTTTCTGATATTTTAAAGTCAGAAATTTACAAGAGAAAACTCGTAAATTTATGAGAAAAATCTCTGAAATTTTGTCAAAGGGTGATCCCAGCTGTTTTCACCTTGAGCAGCTGTAATCTTCCTGTTTCTATGGAAACTTCTAGTTTTTGTCTGATAAAATTACCACTTCTGGAGCTTAATGATCCTCTTTTTTTCTTGAAAATTTCTGAAAATAATCTTAAAATCTTTAAAGTTTTTTAGCAGGGATTTGCTCCTTTTTCATCTTTAAAGAGGCCCTAATAAACCATCGTAGAATCAAATGTTCATAAAACAATACAAAGTAAAAAAAGTAGTTTGAAAACCTCAAATGTGCAACAAAATAAAATGCTTAGCTTCAATAAGTGCTCTTATTTTGAAAATCAAATAAAAAGGTGAGAGTCACTCTTGGCTTCTCAGCTTGATAAAATATATAAATAAATGAAAAAGGGCTTGCCGTAGCACATTTAAAGGCATGCTAGTTGTGACCTGCTGTACGTCTTGCTGATCTTTGTGGATCAGAACCAGGAGAATTTTCCACACAGAGGATTAAAAACGAACTCTTGACTCTTCTGTTTTTTTGTGAGTCACCTCTTCTTGCTTTGCTTTGAGAAGGAGAGCTTTAAAACGTTGTTTTTGTTTGTGACGTAGCCGTTAGCYAACAGCTGGGGAATAAAACCATCCRGACAGAACCTGTGCTTCCCTGAACCCGACCCAAACGTTGGTAAAACACAGAAAAACTCAAAGTTCTGCTGGTTCTGAACACGGTCCAGCTCAGGAGCGTACCGGTGTTAGAGAGCACCTCGGTCCCAGAGTCCTGCAGGACCCGGACTCTGAGATTCAGGTGGTTCCTGGTGATGCTGGACGGAGGTCTGCCGGGTCTTCTCCGCTCGGACCGGACCGACCTGGAGAACAAAGAGAGACACCTGACTGCTGCAGAGGACAGAAACCGGAGGATTTTAATCAAACTGACGGCGGGTCGAGAGTTCTGATCCTACGGGACGTGTAGCCTCAACGGGATCTGAAAATCTGGGTCCTTCTGATCCTCTCGGGTCTTCCTGAAGCTGGTTGATGGTTCAACCAGAGGTCGGTGTCCTTCATCATCACCATCATCATCATCATCCTTGTACCACAGGAAGTCCAGGCGTCCAGGTTTGTCCTCACCTGGACAAAAGGACACGTTTGTTAAACATCATCACTTCATACGATGACATCACAACTTTAAAACAACGAAAATTATTAAAATCTGAATCAGCAGGACAATCATCATCATCATCATCATCATCATCACCATCATCATCCTCATCTTTATCATCATCATCCTCATCTTTATCCTCATCATCATCAAGTCAAAGGTCATGTGTTTACCTGTCTGTCTGTGTGTTACCTGTCTGTCTGTGTGTTACCTGTCTGTCTGTTACCTGTCTGTGTGTTACCTGTCTGTGTGTTACCTGTCTGTGTGTT